ATAGCCAACATCATACTAAACCTGAAAACTTTTACTCCAAAATCAGGAAAAAGCAAGAATGTCCACTATCACCATCTCTATTCAATATAGCTCTGGAAACATTATCTAGAGAAATTAGGCAAGAGAAACTGAAGGAATAAAGATAGAAAAAGAAGACGTTAAATTGTCTTTATTTGCAGATGACACGGTACTCTACATAGGTGACACCAAAAGACTTCCAGATTTAATAACCAGATTCAGTCACATAGCTGAATGAAAGGTCAACAACCAAAAATCAGAGGCAGGACTTAATGCTGCAGGTCCCAGGCTGGCAGTCACCCTGGGGCTCCCAGACCCTCAGCCAGGCTTGAGGATGCTCTCCCAGGCTGACCAGGCAACAGACACAGGGAAGAAAATCCAGGGGACCCATAGGGTTTCACCCACCCCTGAGATATCCAGCTCCAGACCCTGACCCCACACAGCCACCTCTGTATCCAGTTAGGCGTGAGGCCTAGCCTGTCCCTTGCCTCACCCAGTCTTATTAAAAAACCCCAGCAAAAAGAGAGAGAAAAAAAAAAGCATTCTTGTGTACAAACAACAAACTCACTGAGAAAGAAATTAATGAAGCATCTTTTACAATAGCATTGGAAAAAAAAATGAAGTACTTAGGAATCAATCTAACAAGGGATGTAAAAAACCTCTACATTAAAAACTGCAGTACTCTGTAAAAGGAGCTTGAACAGGATATTAGAAAATGGAAAGATATCCTTTGCTCTTGGGTTGAAAGACCAAATGTAGAAAATGATCATAGTTCCAATCAAAATACCATTAGCATACACCACAGAACTAAAGAAAACATTCCTAAAATCCATTTGGAACCAGAAAAGACTTATAATAACAAAAACAATTCTGGGCAACAAAGGCAAGGCAGTGGGCATCAAAATCCCTGACTTGAAATTATACTACAGAGCTACCGTGACAAACACAACATGGTATTGGCAAAAAACAAAAACCACCAAAACAACAACAACACAAACAAAAAGTGAGCATCAATGTAACAGGCAACAAAAGGCAGGAACAACTTCACACACACTCAGCCATTTTATCTTTGACCAAGGTGCCAAGCACATTCACTGGAAGAAACTGAAGAAAAAAACCTCTTTAATAAATGACATGGAAAAAAGTGGCTTTCCACATGCCAAAACTAGACCCATGTCTCTCACCATGCACTAAACTAAAATAAAAATGCATCAAAGATCTAAATATTAAAACAGAAACACTAAATCTGCTGGAAGAGAGAATAGGTAGAACACTTGAAGATAGAACTATAGGCCAAGACTTCACGAACAAAACTCCAACTACATGGGAAATACTACAAAGAATCAACAAATGTGCTGTCATCTTGTTAAAAATCCTTTGCTCAGCAATAGAAATACCTAGAGTGAAAACATAACCCATAGAATGGGAAAAAGTCTTAGCCAGTTTTTCTTCAGAAAAAAGGACTAATATCTAAAATATATAAAGAGTTGAAAAAATCAGACCCCTCAAATTTAAAGTTGCAATACAAACATGGGCATCTGAAATAGATACTTCTCTGAAATACAAATGGTGAATAAATACATGAAAAAAATGTTCAACATCATTGATCATTCAGAAGATGCAAATTAAAACAATGCTGAGATTTCAACTCATTCCAAAAAGAATGGCTATTTCAAAATATTAGTAACAAGTGCTGATGGGCCTGTTGGGAAAAAGGAATCCTTCTCCACTGTTGGTAAGAGTGTTGACTGGTACAGCCACTGTGGAAATTTCTCAAAATCTAGGGCTAAAGGTTCCATTTGACCCCATCATTCCCCTTCCTCATATCTTCCCCAAAGAACCAAAGGTATCATATCACAGTGATATATATGCACCCATGTTTATAATAGCACAGTTTGTAATAGCTAAATCTTGGAAACAGCACAAATGCCCAACAACTCATGAATGGATAAAAAAAAATGTGGTTTTTTTAATACAAGGGAGTACTACACAGCCATAAAGAAAGGCAAACTTCAGATATTCATAGTTAAATGGATGAACCTTGAGGCCATGCTCTTGAGTGAAATAAAGTAGATACATATGAGGAAATATCACATTGTGTCTCTGGTGTAAGAAACTGAAAATACTGTAAATAAAAAAGAAAGTGCATAATAGATATCATGTAATAGGAAATAATTGTTTAGAAGGATAGGGTAATTGGAGGGGAGTAGACAAGAAAAGAAAGAAATGAGAAAAGAAGGATAAAATGTAAACAAAGCCTTGTGAGTAAGGAGGGTTAATGCGGTTGAAGGAGGGAGCAGGAAAAAAAGAGAAATTAAGATATATCATGTGCGGGTACAGACTCCCTATGATGAATGTGATCGTTGTGTATATCTAAAATGCTCCAGTACACTTAATTTAAAAAAAACTAGGAAGTGTTAAAAAAAAGCACACAATGATGGGGCTTAGGCATAGCCTTGTTATCATGAGTAACAGAGGAAAATGAAGCCGAGGAAGCAACCTTTGATCCTTTCAGGTAATGGTTCAGAAATGATGGTAGCTTTTGTCTGTCAGCTGTCCTAATGTATCATTTCTTAAATAGTGTTAACTATCAGTTCAGATAAATGTGAAATTCAGTTTTTTAAACATATATGAACTATAGATACATAACTGACATTACTTTAAATTATACAATAAAAGGATGACTCATTTATCAAGTATTTTGAGAAAGAGTATTAAAATTTCCCTCTCTGAGGTCCCTTTCAGAGGTTACACTATACCAATATAGATTTGGGAGCTTACAAGCTAGACAATATTGTGAGTGTGGAACAAAGTCTTCCTTAAGTCATTGGTGAGTGGTCACTTTAATTTTGAGTTCCCTAATGAGGCAGCAGGATATTGTGTGGCAAAGCTGGCTGGGGGAGTAGGCATGACCCGTCACTCACAAAATACCAGGACACATGTGCCGAACAGTTCCCAAAGCCCTGAACAGGGTCTTCTCATGATAACCGGAGCAGGTTTTTGATAGGATGACCTAAGCCTGAGAAGCGGGTGATACAAAGCAGACAGTGAGTTTTGTCACTGTGTTCTGTCTTGCATGGTGACCTGCCCACTTGCTGCAGGGTATACTTTATTTCTTTGACTTGGCCCAAATTCCTTCTGCAGAGCCTGTTTGTTTTCCTATCTTTATTAAAACTCTGCTACTGTTTGCACTTCTCTTGACCAATTCTTTGGTCAGGAAAGAGAAAAACCTAGAAACCACCTCCAGAAGGGAACTCAGCACCTGAAACCTAGTAATATATCTGGCTTAGTCAGCCAGGAGGCCAGCTAAGGCACTTTGGGACCATTTTTTTGTTTCTCTGTTTCTGTCTAAAATGCCATGATGTTTTCTTTTCTTCCTTTTCCCTCTCTCTTCTCTAGGCTGGAGAAGTTAGGAGATATTTCTCATAGTGTCAGGAACTGTGTCCTGCTTTTCTCGCCGTATAGGGGAGTGGAATACAGGGTCTCTCTCTCTCTCTCTTTTTTTTTTTCTTTTGCTTTCTTCTTAGCAGGTGAGAGCCTTGCAGACCTGCCTCACCGTTATCTCCTCATTTTCTTTTTTTCCCTATTCACTGCCCTTGTCTTTATTTTTCCCATTTGTAACCACTCAATGGGCTTGAGTTAAATACCCAGAGAGCCTGTTACTATGCCCCTTTGTCATTGTGTTTCTAATTCTCAATGATATTTTGCTATTGTATTGGGGAAAAATAGCTACTGGGAATGTGCTAGCCTGCCTGAGTATCTGCCCATATCAGTTTACTCCTTTTTTTGCTCAAAGTTTCCTCTGTACTTTTCCCTTCCCAGGGATTTATTCACAAAAGTTCGTTCACCTCTTCCTTATTGCAGTTCATCACATGAATCAACAGTGTGGTTCCACCATGTTTGATCTCGAGTAACCTCACGATCACCAGAAAATTTCACCTTGTAGACAGAAGATAAGCTTGTGATTTTAGGGAACATGTGGGTTTTCTCCCACTTTTCTTTTAAATTAGGGTAGGCCCTCCCTTGCTGCTTCTAAGAAAATATAGATA